CATCCCAATACGAGAAGGGATACTTCGCATGGTAGTCATCGAGGTCGAGCTAGCGGCGTATTTTCTGGTCCGAGTTTCACCGGGACTGCCAACCACGGGGTGAATACCCTCCTGGAAGCACCAGTCGATAGTTTACTAGAGGAGCTACGCGCAGGTGGCGATTTCGAAGGCTTCCATAGCATGGGTATAGATGATCATGAATTTGACGGTCTTACTCAGGAGATCTTGTTTACAAAGATACACAGTATTCCCATCGACAATAGCAATGTCCGGTACTCGCTCTCCAAACAGCCGGCCAGAACACAATGTAAAGTCTTCTGTCTTATCGGTCCAGAATCTATAGATGATGGACACAATCGTCAGCAAGTCTTAGTCGGGATTCAAGACCCGATGGAGAAACGCTTACAGCTGCTAACACTTCACCTACAATCAAGCAGCTCTAATTCAGTGTCCTCCCCCGGACCCGATAAAACGGTCGTAACTTTCGGACAACTTAGGAAGGCGCAAAACGTCATAGACTCGTGCAAAATCGTCGACGGCGAACTTTCAATGATCCTCGTATTATCACAATCTACTGAAGGTCAGCGTGAGCTTAGTATTCAAGCACCATGGACGCAGATGACGTCCGTGAACCTCCCGTCGAAGCTATCACTTGCAAATTTACGCAGTCTTGATTACCACGGCAGTCTTGTCAACCGGGATGTCGGCATTAGTAGAGCTGTAACTCCCGCGATCGGAGAGATTGCCGGTCTAAGGCACCCCGAACTACGTGGTGTTGTAGACGTTCTGGACGAAGATACCCAGCAGTATCACCAAATACGTATTCAACTCCAACCCACATCTCCGCGAGTTTCGAAAGTCTTGAAGGCCTTACGAACAGCTCTTCCAACCTCTTCCGGTGAACGATTGGTGTCTAACTGGTGGGAGATTATTGCATGGCTTCGGCAACAAGACACCGAGGTTACCGATATTGAATGGTCGGCTGTTGTTATCCAAATATTTTCTATATTTCTTGCGCTTGATTTCGACGAGGCTACGTTACCAGCTGATAATACACCTCGGAGAAGATCTAGAGGTTACTTAAGGTCAAGTAGCGGAGCACAGATCGATCTCGGCGACTGGGACGCGATGAACGGGTATGAAACACCAGGATCATTGACACATCCGTCCTGGATCGAGAACAAAGCATGGCAGTGGATGATGGAAGAAGACGATTCCTCCCCACCGCTATTCAGACCTAGCTCTGAGCGAGATAGCACGGATTTTCTCTCTGCGCATACAAAGTACGCTTTGGCGTATTTGTCCTCCAGCAGCGGAGACGCTGCTTGCGGTCAAGACGGATATCTTCCAACTTCCGCTAGTCATGACTACTTAAGTAGGACACGGTATGCTCAAGATATATTTCTTGCGTTGCATCTTTTGCTAGAAGAACAAAAACTTGACATTGCATCTCGCCACCTACTATCACCAGGCTCGATTAACCTACGAGCTGTGTTGCTCCAAGTTGCTCGTTGCTTGAAGTGGTTTGAATGGATAAATGCTTATGAACTCGAAATGCCCCTGGACTGGCCCGAGCAACAGCTAGGGTCTATGAACATTTCTGTATCACTTAAACCCCCAGAGCCAGCCTACTGGAACGTTTCTGACTGGATCCGAACGAATTTGTCACCACAACCAAACCCGTCAGCGTTCGTGCCACCGATAAGATCGACCATGATTTACTCGGTAATTCCTCGTACGAAAATGTTTGAAGATCTCTTTAAGACCCTCTCTCTTCGAAGGAGATCACCAGCGGATTTCGTCGAAGCTATGCACCAAAGCGGTATCACACCAACGATTTTGGAGTCATTACCAGAACACGTCCTTGTCCCCCTCCAAGATGCAATCGCTCAATGCCAACCGGCTCCTCCGTCAAAGTGGTCTAAGGGGATGCTTGATTTAGTCAACAGAGGCGACGTCGGCTCAGTGCTAACGCAGTCGAATAACCTTCACATCCGTTCAACTAGCGTCCTTGTGAGTCTTTCTAATCAGCTGCCACGATTTACCATATTGACATTATTTAGGCACCAACTCATGTTGCTTCGTGGGATTTCAATTCTCTCTGCCAGAACGTTATGGATTTTAGTGATGCTCCATCAGATGATATCGCAGAGAGCGATAAGCAGGCGGTGATCCGTGCCATCTTCAAGGATGACCGACGTCTTGACGAAACTAAATCGATGTTAAACACAACAAAACCGCGAATCATGCGTCTAGATCCGCTACCCGAATGGACGGAAGCTTACTATCTCGAGCAGCAAAAGGATATGGTAACGAGACTCGCCAATAATACTTTGTCCATACCAGCTGGCCGTGGTCTGATGAATTATGGACTTCGCTTCCCTCTCCTAACTCAAAAGTTCCACATCAATGGCTTTGTTCTGAATTGCACTGTTCAGCCAAATAATGTGACGGTAGGTGTTGATAAGTCGCTCTTTACAGAAGAGAGAATCGCGTGGGCTTTCTTCCATTCTGGTGTTGCTGGCGGGCTATCCATCTCTCGTCAGGCAAAGGGGATAGACACTTCATGGATTCTGTACAACAAGCCCGGCAATGATTTGAGTAACAGGCACGCCGGGTTTCTTTTGGCATTAGGTCTTAATGGGCATCTTAAAGGTGTAGCTAAATGGGTTGCTTTCAAATATCTAACACCGAAGCATACCATGACGTCTATAGGCTTACTCTTGGGCTTGGCCGCATCTTATATTGGAACCATGGACTCCCTCATCACCCGTCTATTGTCCGTCCACGTTACGAGGATGCTCCCGCGGGGGGCTGCTGAGTTGAATCTATCTCCTCTAACGCAAACAACGGGAATCATGGGGATCGGCTTGCTTTATTGCAATAGCCAACATCGGCGCATGAGCGAAATCATGATGTCCGAAATTGAACACATCGAATCTGAAGATGATGAAGAACCGTTACGTACTGAATGCTACAGGCTAGCTGCAGGTTTCGCACTCGGTTTTATCAACTTAGGAAAAGGGACGGACTTAAAGGGTCTCCATGACATGCGCATCACCGAAAAATTGCTAACTCTAGCTTCAGCTACGAAGAAGGCTGAGAATGTGCATATTTTGGATAGATCCACCGCCGCTGCCGTCGTAGCTATCGCGCTCATTTATATGAAGTCAGAAGACCATATAGTAGCTAGGAAGATTGACGTCCCTGACGCATCTTTACAGTTTGACTATATCCGCCCCGACATTCTATTACTGCGTACGGTTGCTAAACACCTTATCCTGTGGTCAGAGATCGAGCCGACACAGGACTGGGTCCGTAAGAATATTCCACGGCAATACCATTCCAGATTACAGCCACCCCAATACCCCTCAGATCATCCGTCCCGCGGACCGCTTAACTCGACACACTTACCATTCCTCACAATATTAGCTGGCCTTTGCTTCTCCATAGCGCTGCGGTTTGCTGGATCGGGAAATCTGAAAGTCCGCGACCTTCTACTCTCCTACATTCGCAGATACTATAGCCAGTGCCGTCATCCCAGCCCGAAAGCCAGCTTCGACGAAAGAATTGTGCAAGTAACGGCACGCATGTGCCTCGACATAGTTGCGCTCTCATGTGCAACTGTTATGGCCGGCACGTGCGACTTAGAAGTCCTTCGCTACTTACGCTCACTCCATGGCCGTAACGACCCAGATACAACCTATGGTTCACACATGGCGACACATATGGCTATGGGCGCGCTATCGCTTGGCTGTGGTACACAGACATTTAACACGTCAAACTTAGCCATCGCTTCGCTGCTTGTTGCATTCTATCCCGTCTTCCCGGATTCAGTGCAAGATAACAAGAGCCACCTACAAGCGTTCCGGCATCTCTGGGTATTGGCTACCGATCCTAGGTGCCTTGTCACAAAGGACGTTTCCACGAACGCGCCTGTCGGTGTTCCAATTGCCATACGTCTGGAGAATTCGACGGAGGAAGAAGTGCGCATGACACCATGCTTGTTACCTCCGCTCAGCGATGTGCAAAGGGTCCGAACCATATCGCCCGACTTCTGGAACCTCGAGCTAAACTTCGAGGCGCACCCAGAATACGCCGAAGCATTCAAGTGTTCACAGGCGCTATACCTCCGTAGGCGGCCCGTTAGTGACAGCCCGTTTGCAACGACTATGCTCGCGCTCGGACGCCAAGGAGGGCTTGGCGGCCCTCTATCTACAGACGCGGCGTCTCAACCTCTCGAGTGGTTATTCGACACAGTGCCAGGATTACGAAAACTTACGCACGCGGAGCGCGGCATCGTGCTCGACCGCGGTGTGGGTGGTCCCGACGTGAGCAATAGTGCTGTCACCGCAGTTGACGCCCGCCTAGTTCTAGAGGACGTGATCTCTAGCGGGAACAGAGATGACCTACTGGGCTTAAAGGGGCTATTTGAGTGGTTCGAATGGAGAGCTAGGAGAACACAAGCTGAAGAGAGAGCGAAGGAGGACAACGTAAAGGATAGCAGTAATGAGAAGAAAGAACTCAGTTGGAGCGGAGAGGGATGGTTAAGAGAGAGCATTGCAGAGAATTTAAGGGGGGGAGTGTGGCTTGCAGGTAGGAGTTGAAGAGATGGGTATGACTTATGAGTGAAGATTACTATTAAACAAAAGACTCGGACCTACGCCTCATCTTGATGATGTTTATATGTAGGTCAAGAACAACGTTATAACGATATTGCTGCCTAGCTAACTAGGTACCTAGATATAAATATGAATAATATAAATGAGAACCAATTCTCTTAGGATAAAAAGGGGGTTACTAAAGTAGTAGGCAACATTCGATTGAGCGTTGAGACTATTGGGGCGTATAATTGTCCACTTATATAAGTCAAGGTTGGGAATAGCTACAGCCAGTGAAGCTAGCACATGCACCAGCGCCAACTGGCACATGGCCGAGGGGACCCACTCATGTGATTTTGGCGGGTGACATCACCACGCTGCCCACCTTCCACCTAAACATTTTCAGGGTTCTTAGCTTTCTTAGCTTAGTTGAACAAAGCTTCCAAACTTGCAACTTGCAAAATCGCAAACCTGCGACCCATTCAAAACCTTGTATTTTCCAAGTGTCCGGTTATAGTTGTGGGACTCTCTTTTTAACTTCACTCGTCCGGCACTTAAGCTGAGCTTATTACAGGTCTACAGTATTATGTCTGTAGCCGTTACGCACGTAGCATAGTTTGCTTCTCGTTTCCAATTCCGACTCTATTCCTACCTGTCCTCCGTTCTTCAAGACCAGACTCTACCCCGTACTCGATATCCTGGAGTTATGATCGATTATCGAGATAGACAGATTGCGTACATACAGGATGCTTCCTTACATTAATATACGTATGGCTACCTAGGTATTGTTGCTCTTGGGAGATCAATCGCGCTGACTTTTATGTAGCGTTCGAGTGGTTGTCTGGAGTGGTGGGGGCTTCTCCTGATGAGCGTAGGTTATACCCGCCCGACTTGATGTCTATCTTCTATTCACAGGTTGCTAAGATTGGTGAATATATAGTCAAACTCATATTCTCCCTCCTCGCCTCTTACCCGCTTGCTGGCCTCTTGAAGCGTGTGCCAGATGCTCGCCCCGAATACAAGAATCTATTTAATATAGGGTACGAACACTTCCCCGATCGTGCGCTGCCTCGTAACAGAGCCGTAAAGAAATCAGTTGCTTATTAGTGAATAGCGGAGGGCTGTTCTATCTCGTAGGCCTATTCTCGCTATGGGTCGGCGTTCGAACCCTCTTCATCTCATCCGCCGTCACATATGGCCTCACCTATTACTTACGAACGTCCGCCTACATGCCATGGATGGCCTTCGTGTTCCTCATGGGCCACATGGCTGTAAACCAGCTCAGTCGCCAGTTCGATGGTAACCCTTCCGGAGTTGACATTACCGGTGCGCAAATGGTACTTGTTATAAAGTTATCTGCTTTCGCTTGGAACGTGGCGGACGGCACCCTACCCGAGGACCAGCTCAGCGACTTTCAGAAGAGCAGAAGAATAGTTAAGCTTCCCAGCCTACTAGACTATGCCGGATATGTGTTGTTTTTCCCGGGACTCTTGACTGGTCCGGCCTTCGATTATAACGAGTACCGCGCCTGGATCGACTGTTCTATGTTTGACGTCCCGGCCACTATCGACCCCGCCAAGAAGCCACCCACCAGGAAGAAGCGCAAGATTCCAAGGAGTGGTACGCCCGCCATGTTGAAATTGGCGAGCGGTCTCGGGTGGATTTGGATCTTCTTGAACTTGAGCAAATGGTACGGCCCTGAAGCCCTCCTCAAGGACCGCTCTCCTGCAGCAGGCTTCCTACGCCGCGTTTTGATTATGCATATGGTAGGCTTCACCGCCCGCTGTAAGTACTACGGCGTGTGGTCCCTGGCAGAGGGTTCGTGTATTTTGGCCGGCCTGGGTTTCAATGGCGTAGATCCCGTGACGGGTAAAGTCTCATGGAACCGACTACAGAATATCAACCCGTGGGGTGTAGAGTTGGCACAAAACAGCCGCGCCTATCTTGAGAACTGGAATATGAACACTAACAAGTGGTTACGTTACTACGTCTACCTCCGCGTAACACCGCGAAATAAGAAACCAGGCTTCCGCGCCAGCATGGCCACTTTTGTGACCAGTGCGTTCTGGCACGGTTTTTACCCAGGGTACTACCTCTCATTTGTCCTTGCTAGCTTCATCCAGACAGCCGCAAAGAGTACGTCACATTTTTATTCTTAATTTGATCTCCCTTTCCTATTCTCTCCCCCTAGAAAATTCGACTAATAAAGCCTTTTAGACTATCGCCGCTACCTACGACCTTTCTTCCTTGACCCAGCCACGCAGAAGCCACTTCCCAGCAAAAAATACTACGACATAGTGTCGTGGATAGCGACACAAACAACCTTCTCGTTCGCAGTATCCCCCTTCATCCTCCTACGCTTAGACGACTCCCTCCGCGCCTGGAGCCGCGTGTACTTCTATGCAATAATCACCACGGGCGCTAGCTTAGCGTTCTTCGCATCTCCAGCTAAATCTCAGCTCCGCCGAATGCTGGAGGAACGCACGCGCGGCCGCGGCACCAGCAGCGGTAAGACGTCCCGCTCCGCAAGCGCAGATAGTTCGGCCGGCCCGGTACTGGGCCTTAGTGCGGATCCGGGTAAGGATATTGATGAGGCGTTGCAGGAGTTGCGAGAGGAGGTGGAGAGGGTGAGGAAAGATGTTGATGGAAAGACAGATCAGAACAGGAGTCGCGAGGGGAAGAAGGAATTGTGATTTATTCTTACGGTCGACTCCCCGAGAAATTTAATGCCGAGATCGATCAATGGTCGGGTGTGGAGTGGGTTCGAGGCTAATGGAGATATCAACCATGGTACTATGTAGTAAGAGTGGAATTCAAGTGGCATGATCAAGTTTGGCGGTCTATAATCCTTGTTTGGCTACTAAGGAGTCCGGAAGCAGGCCGGCATACTAATGATCAGCTCATGTGAAGTGGGAAGTATGTCGCGCAACGGATGAAAGGATGCGATGAGACGAGATAGAATGAGAGCATCAGCAATATCTCTAGCGAAAGACTATAGTTGAACATGAGAAAGAGGAAGATGTAGATAGACATTTATACATAATGCAATACCAGTAATTTACCATCACCATAGTTTTATATACAATAGTTATATATAAATTCACTATAACTTAATCACAATTTCAAAAGCATAAGCAGAAGAATGATACAGTTCTCAAAAATGACTTTTCAATTCGTAAGATCTCGTCATCGCGGGCGTGATTTCGTACGTCTCCGTCTACAACTATCTAGCTTTAAAAAAATAAAACCAGGCGTGAAAGACATTATAACGCAGATATCCGTAACGGCATCGAATCTGAACCTTTTCAGTACCTAGTGAGTTCCCTTCCCTTCCCTACTCGAAATGCTCGGGTATTTGTAGATACCCGGCGCGAACGTAACATAACGTAACGTAACCTAACTCATCTGCGAATCTTGCTCCTTCTCCATTCCGCAGACCGTTATAAACTTTTTCTTCCTCCTCGTCTCATATCAACCCATGACAAACGCCTCCCTCAGCAAGAAGTAAAACCCTCATTTCCCTCATCCCTCGTACCAACTCCCAACCCCAAAACTACCTCAGTAGCTAGCTAGCCAAACGGCCAAGCAACCGCGCCGACAAGAAAGCAAATAAAACGCGTACCAGAGGAGGCTGTCTCATTCTCCAGACACTCCGTACGACCCGACTCCAAAGCAAACAATTTGGTTCAAGGGTATCATGTCCCGTTTGCTCCCGTCTAATTTTTCTACAAAAAGTACAAGTTAAAATATAAAAAAGGGGGTTTTCGATCGAAGGGAAATATCGTTAAGAGTTCATCGTAAGGTATACAAAATTCGTAAAATTGAAAAAGCGTGAAGAAGAAAGTGCGAAGACGGACGAATATGTGGCGGCGGAGAATATAAAAAGATGGTGAGAATGATGATATCGGGTGTTATTCCGGAATCGTCTTAAGATGGGTGGTTATGTGCAGCCGCATGGCTCGTGAGATCGTGATTACATATTACGTAAAAAAGGATCATAGTTCGTCGTTTCGAGGATAAAAAATAGAGAAAGATATCGGGGTTGTAAGTTATGGGTTGAGCGTGTAGGAGTCGTTGTCATGATCGGCCCCATTTTTCCCGAACGCCCACCACGACGAGAGCGATAACCGCACCGACAATTATGAGTCCCGCGACGGCCATGAAACGATTTATGTTTCTCCACCATCGCGCGCTCTGGTATCGGGCGTCGTCGTTAAGAACAACTCGTCCTTGGGGAGGTTCCGCCTGGTCCGAAGCAGGAAACTGAGTCGTACTATAAGCACGCTCTTCCATGGCGAGCGTTGGCTTTGGGGGAAGCGGTAAGAAAGCTGCAATCATCCAAGCTATTATCCCAAGTCAGCAATTGCAAAATCCACCTGTATAAAATTTACTTACCAAAGGGAAATAGAAATCCCATTACGAAGAGAGCTACTTGGAGATTGCGCTTCCCAAACATGCCGCTGTCGGCAGACCAGGTGATGGAGGGCGTATTCCACATGCTAAAATTACTAGCGCGGGTATCTTGGCGAAGATGTGGCGACCACAGGCTCGAGGACTTCTTCTTGGGAGCTCGTCGTATGTCGCCGGCTTCAACCGGTGCGATCTCCATCGAATCTTCCGTTTGCTGGCTCCGGGGATCGGATACATCCCTCGGTCGACGACGTGGGTTGTAAATAGGCTGGGCGTACTGGTCATGAGATGGCGATCCACCACCTATCCAGGGACTCGTCGGGGCATCGCTAACATCGGAAGGTGACCTGGAAAGCGGCGCGAGCCAACGTCTGTCTGGACTACTGTAGTAGAGCCTAGAATAGTTATTAGTAATGACAGTCTTTTTAGTCTTTTACTTGAATATCTTACCTTGCCCAAGATGGGAAAGAGGAGGCCACTAAACTTCCGGCACGCGAGCTCACGCTGGAGCGGAGACTTCTATCCGAAGCTTGTCTAGAGAAGCCGAGACGAGTTCGGGACGATCTGTGTTGGAGATGCTGGAGATCTGCTAATCCGTCGCCGTGCTCATCGTGGTCTCGAATCGTCCGAGGCGACGAAGTGGGTAGTTCTCTTCCTCTCGAATGAACAGGTCCCAGGCGATCTAAGGAATCGCTTTGGGAATGCGACCTCGAATGCGACAATCGGGTTTCCAAGTTATCTAGAACTAGCGACGACGAAATACTGCGCATATGCCTGCTGTCCCTGCTTCCGAGAAGACTGCTGACCCGATCCGCCATAGAACCGGCAGAAGCGCCACGAGAGCCAGGATTGCTACCCTCGTACTCAGACATCACAGTCGAGAGCTGTGAGCTCCATTGATGCGTATCCATCTGTGCTCTCTGTTGCGCCGCACTCGACGATTCTGCCCATGTAGGTTGCGGGATAGACGAGGCGGAAGGCGTGTGGTGTAAAAGAACGACGTTCGGGGTGGAACCAGTGAAAAGGGACCCAGTATCGTGGCTAACTATACTCGAAAGAGACGAGAACGAGTTTGCTCGACCCCGAAGATTTTCTCCCGACTGCTGCTTGTAATAGCCGATGCTTTCAGATGACGATCGTTTGTGCGGTCTAAGCGGAGGCACGAGGAGGCTTTCTTGCGAATACCTCTCGCGCACTTTGCGTTGGGAGCTGTCGTCGGAACGATGGTAACGGTGTCCGCGGAAAGGGGTACTCGACGATGATAATGAGGAGGCGTCGTAAACGATGTAGTTCTTGCTTCCTGGAGTGTCAGCGATTGCAGGGCCAACGGTCGAGGCAAGAGTCCGGGCCGGGGATGATTGCCCGAGAATTTTGTAGTTCGCACTACTAGATGAAGACGGGACTTCGACGCTTGCCGTGTCTGGTAGCGGCGGAGAACTACGACCTACAACTTTGTAGTTCGTGGTCTCTTCGATCGTCGAGGCGGTCTGTTCGGAATTAAATGATTGCTTCGTCGCGAGCGGAGACGAAGGTTCCGGCGACGGGGTGGTCGTTACCGGTAATGGTGGTAAGGGAGATTCCGAAAGTTCTCTCTGCTTGCCCTTGCCTTTGGGATCGGAAGTAATTGGAACTTTACGCAAGCCACCAACCATGCGGTAATTCCAGGGCGAAGGTTCGACCAGTTCTTCCGGTAACGCTGTGATTGTGGAGGGGGAGCCTGATGTATTAGGCGAGATGCTGCGCTCGAGCGCAGAGCTCAATGGAGAGCCGTGACGATCTTCGGTAGATGCGTCAAACGAGCTTTCTTCATGCGAGCTGATAGTAGAGACGTTGGTAGAGACGTTAGAGAGCGGAGGCGATTTTACAGTCGATCCCGACCTGTCTGAATGGCGTAGGTTCGGGTTTGTCGACTTGAGTACGATTGAAAAAGTCTTGTCTGAGTGTACGCTGATGTAATTTTCTCGTCTAGATACCGTTCCTCTCCGTGGCCTCGAAGGTCCGTCATCGTGGCGCGATGGTGATGGCTGCGATTGGGGATTAATACGTCTAATATTGCTTCCATATGAAGCCCTATTAATGACAGGGGTTTGTGGGGCAGTGTGTTCAACACCACCTGAGCCAGAAGCGAGTTTCGACCCTGAAACATCGCTACCCATGATCCCAGCTAATGGTGAGATAGGTGTCGAAAATGATGGCGAACGTGGTGAATCGGCGCCATGACCTTGCCTCCTATGGATCGTGGCTTTCGGCGTTCTTGGTGTTGCGATAGTTGCCGAGTCGGTTGTGCTCTGAACATCGTCATCTTCTTCTTCCCCAACTTGTTCGTCTGCGTGAGACAACCTGCTACTATCTTCTTCATCGAGAGGCCTAGGCGGCGAGTAAGGGACCATGCGAATTTGCAGATTGTTGTTTTCCGAGTCCGACCTCTCGTGCAACGGCGTCCTCGGCAACCGGGTTGACGATGACGAAGTCGAAGACATCCTCAATTACGGGCGTGGCCCGACGATGCGGGAAATAGTCGCGAGAAATCAAAAATTACCTAAGTCCAGCGGCTATAAAAGTGTTTCGACAAAGGCCATAACGATTTACGTAAACGGTGATGCTATATGCAGATCCGGGAACAGGCGACGTATATTTCGACGTAAAACTTCGTTTCGAGTAGTGTATACTATGTAAGCGAGTGGAATAGCGAGTGTATTTTCCGAGCGGTACGGAGATCGTGGTTAAAGACGGGCGAGCAGTGTAGGACATTAATAAATAAAATATAAAGAAAACCGAGGGACTAAAGAGTAGCCAAGGATGTCAAAGAGAGACGTGAAGTTCGTAGAAATATTATATCGCTATGAAGATAGCGTAACAAAGAATCCAGGCAAGGACGTTGTGGACAAGCGTCACATAGACAAGCTTTAGTTTGGATCTTTAGAGGAATAATAATAGAAAGGAGTGGGACGGGTCGTCAAAGAGAGGCCCAAAAGATAATTCCTACACTACATACAGACCACACACACACACGCATCCGCGGGGAAGAAACGAGATCGGGATGACAAAAAGCAGCGAAGCTGTCAGAAGACGGGCAAGAAGAGGTATTATTTCTTGAAAGGTGCCCCGGAGTGCCGAGTAGACGATCGATTGGCTAGCGGCTGGAGTCATCTATCTAAAGGCGGCTGCATATTACCTAGAAAGCTATGCAATGCAGCCGAAAGGGAGCGTCCAGGGTTCCATCGAGCCAGCGCGGGCATAGAAGCCGAAGGGAGCGCTGGAGAAGACCAAGACCAAGGAGAAGCTTCACGGAGCCCTAGTACTAAAACCGGCCTAGGGAAAAAGGCTGACATGGACAAGGAGTCGCACATGTACCGCATCGCTTGGCATCTCACCGCGTACACTAATGTGTACATACATCTTGAGATTCCATTCTTACGATGGAAAATGATAAGGAGATGCTACCAGACTGCCAGAGAGACAATAGCGATGTGTGATGCCACTAAGGTCTCTGGTGCTTCTTTGTCGT